TAGAGGCAATTGAGATGAGAATATGGAGCACATACTGAATTATTGCTGTATTTTATCTTTTATCCTTGTTTAGCAAGACAAATATTTATTTCATTTTGCCTAAATGAAATGTTAGGGTTATTTATTAACCAATTTATGGTGCGTTCTGACTTTATTTTAACCAAGGAGTAAGTAGTGCGTTCTTATGACCACTGCAATAGCTAATGCAACATGCGTTGATGATTATAATTTAGCTAATTCTATTACTAGGATATCTAACATGTATTTAGGATCAAGAAACTTTCACCAAGTTCAGCAGCTTTATCTCCTTGGCCCTGTCTCCTCTTCTTAGCCCTCTTTTCAGTTTTGTTTGATGATTTTTGCTGAAGAATCGGGTGGCGCGGAAAGGGCAAAATGTTAACTAGCTAATTAATGAAAAGCAGCTGAATGGTGTGAATGGAAATCCTGACTGCAGGATCTTTTAGGAAGTGGGAATGATCTTATGCACTTGTTAAGTCAATCATGGGGGGTTTAGCAAATCCAACTTACTTAGAGAATTACAAATATCTAGAGTGGCCTACGGCCTTTCCATGAATATCTGAAGGTTAAAGGGCAGCTTATGGCAATCGGCAACCTGCCTTAGAGCTTTCTGGAAACCGCCTTTTATAAGACGGCAGGTTTATCCGCATATTTTCCTCCTGCTATCACCCACTGAAGTCTTGCCATGGGTCTGTGCTTTTGCCCAAATGGACTTGTACTACTGAGCTTAATCTCAATAGCAGCACACGTATCGTTCTGTGTAAATTTTTGCTCACCAAACGATGTCAGTTTTGCTCACACTCGGGCTGAAGCCTTTATTTTTTTCAACTTGAATGGAGAACGCAATCCTCATCTGAAGCGGTTGGTCTGTGAGATGATCCAGGCAGCATCTGTGTTGTCTTTAGAACGATTTTACCCAGAGCTTTAGAAATATTGAGAAGCAGGTGAGTATTTTAAAACCCCAAACAAGGATGGTGCTCAGTGATGTATTCTAATTAAATGCATATTTGTTTCAGAAATTCACAGCCTTGCAGATGGGATGCATTCTGGTACCCTCAGCAAAGGGTCTCTCTATCCATCTGGAAGCTGTTCAGTTAGCTGTGTTCACTCAGAATTGCATGGAAATTTACACACACACACACACATTTGGGTGCCAGCTGCAGAAATAGCCCCAGTTGTATATATTACAGGGATAGGAGCAGGAAAGGCTTTTGGCATTGTCAGACAAAAGAACCCCGAACAAGTTAGCACAGACAGTTTTGCTCCTTGCTTTCAGAAAGGTGCATTAGTTGGGTGGGGGGGGAGGGATACCATATACCTCAGGGATATTGGGAACATTTAATGCCAAGTTCAATTCTCCCAGACAATCAGAGGCTCCCCTACTCCAGATAATTGTGGCATGGAAGAATTGCACAAAAGAACCCAATGTGCAAAACCCCCCAGTAAAGCATCACTCACTACCCAGATGCTTTTGCTGCTGCTGCTATTTTCACAATCACAGCTGCCCTTTTTGAAGCCACCCGGCTCACAGAAATCCCAGTGTGGTATTGACAAGTAGGGTTTCTTTCACAACTGTTTTTCACATACTGCTTCACGGTGTAATTTTGTGGGTGATAAGGAGGTAAATCAAAAGCATCCCGCTTTCAGGTATGGATCCCAGCTCTGGGAATGAGATGTCGCTTGTTGCCGTGTCGCGTTGATTTAGATTTATGTAAGTGATGAACTCAAAACAAGAGTCCTGCATTTAGGAAATGGTGATGGTGTTCTTTCCAAATGAAATAGGCAACATAATCCACTGTAAATTTGTATACAATCTGGAATGTTTCTTAAGGGTTCCACATCTTCTTTGCACGCCTAGTTGGAATATTGTAAAGCCTAGTATATATATATTTTCAGGACCCCTGATTCCCATTATAACAAATAACAGGGAAGTGATTCATCTAACATTGCAAAGGCCCTGTAATAAATTGGTGTGCTTTCGTTCACTATCCGTATCCTATGATTGTTTTAAAGGTATATTTAATGCATGTAATGTTTTATATTTTTTTCCTGTGGATAATTTTATTTTCTTTAATTAACATCTATTTCTCAACCTATCCTGAGCATGTGTCCAACCCACAGATGCCTTCAGATTGAGGGGATGTGGACAATACCGTGTTTCTCATATAATAAGGCTGGGTCTTATTTTTTTTTGAGCCCCGAAAAAATGGCTAGGCTGTCTTTTCGGGGGTGACTTAATTCCCCCCCCCTTGCATCTTTGGGCGGGCAGCGATGGCTTGGATGTTGACCCCAGCATTGGTGGGGCACTTCGTATCGGGGTCAACGCAGGCAGCACCATATCCGGGTGTGCAAAAAAAGTACTTCCTAACGGCAAGCCCCCCCACCATTCCCCCCCATTTCGCATGTTTTAATATAGGCCTTAATTTGGGGGGAGGGGCTTAATTTTATTTCATGCCTATAAAACATGCTGGGACTTCCTATTGGGGGAGGCCGTATTGTTGGAGAAACAGGGTAGTTTGTTGTCCATAATTGGTTTGTGAAGTCTCAAGATTATAGATGCTGCCTTGCATTGAATAGAATGAATATGCGTGGACTAAAACTGGCTTTGGTTGCACTGGTGACACACTGGCTAAAATGTGCCCAGTCTGATCTATGTAGCCCCTACCAACAGTAGAAAATGCTGCATGTAGCAGAGCTATGACTAAGGCTAGTAATTTAAGATAGCCCTTTACATCTTCTTAAAAAGCATTAAACAAAAGTCATGATTGACTGAAGTTGTGAGAAGTGGCAGAGGTAAATATATGTGGGTGTGGGTCCCATCTCATGATGGCCATGGGATGATGATCATAACTTTGGGACCCATCTGGTGGTGATGATCATGGAATGCAGAAGATTCTAATTTGTTGTGTAGTGAAGGTTGTCTGAACACATGGTTCGGCTATATAAATACATACAGGGAAGTGAAGGTATTAGTTTGATTATGAACAAGAAGGCTAAAATGTTTTGCAGAAAGTATGAACTGGTGTTATCTAAGTTGTTGTGGCTATGTAGGACAGTAGGAATCCATCGATAAATGCAAGCAGCACTTTGGTGACTGGAAGAACCACATATGAATTTTAGGGGGAAATGTCATTTTCTGAATGAATGGGATTCAGAAATTATTCTCATACGTAACCTGATCGAATGGGTGGGAACAAAACAAGACAATGCAAAAAATGTGATTGGGCCATTTACAAACTCTAGAGAACAGTGACAGATACGTATCTGCTTAGAAAAAGATTAGTTTGTTTTGAACATGTGAATTAAGCCTAAATCTCTTCAGGTGAGGGTATGAATATATATATCTAAAAGCATGATTAAGTTGATGGAAGTTTGAAATAAGGAAGGAAAAGGGATGTTGACAGATTCTGGCAAGCCATGTTTTGGTAAAGTCAAAGATAGACTTGAGAGAAAAGTAGATATAGAAGACAATGTTAAACAACTGGAGGGGGAAAAGGATGAATCTTGTACGGACATATTATTAGAAAATAGATTAATCTCCCAACAGAGTAAATGGAAAATGACTGTAAAGTAAAGTGGGAGCTTCTTGGAACAAAGTAATAAAAAAAGAGTATGTGTCCCAGAGAAAATTCAGTTACATGAATTGGAAATTTGAAAAATGACAAGTGTTGGACAAATAAAGTAAAAAGATGGCAGAATTCGGGGGGAAATGCATTAAACAGAATGATTGCCGCAAAAATTAGGATTAGAAAAAGATAGTTTAGAGAGAAAAAGATAGGTGCGAAGAATGTCATCAAAGCTAGCTAGAATCAGTTAAGAAACAAGCATGAAAATACAGACCAATTTTGATTTATGTCAAGAGAAATAGTAATAGTAAGATGAATGCAGTGAGAATAGATGCTTCAGAATTATATCTGGAACAGAGGTAGGGTAAAATGAATGGATGTGGGTTGAACATAAAAATAAGTGAATCACATGAAATAATTACATTGAGGCAGTTTGATTGTATCAAGAAAGTTAATGAAGATTGAATTATGGAACAAATAAGTAAAAGTAGAGTGAATAGGAAGAGAGAGGAAAAGGAAGACTGGGGAAATGGTTGGTTGGATAGAATGCAACCAATGGCAGATAAAAATAGTAGAAACAGAGATGGTTAGCAAGAATAAAAAAGCATGGATGTCCAGGGAGGTTGGGCAAAAAGGGTAAATGAGAAGAAGTATATCAATTGCTGTATTTGCATCAAAAAGTCAGATAAATGAGGGCTGGAGCTTTCATTATGATGTCACAATGCACATTTCATCATCTCAATAAAATCTCAACACTGCAGGCACCCATGGCACTGAAAAAAGTGACTTATGATCATTTTTCATACTTTTGACCATTGCAACATCCCCATGGTCATGTGATTTACATTTGGATGCTTGACAACTGACTCACATTTATCACAGTTGCAGTGTCCCAGGGCCATGTGATCACTTTTTGTGACTTTCTGACAAGCAAAGTTCATGGGGAAACGAGATTCACTTAACGACCGTGTTATTAATTTAACAACTGCAATGATTCACTTAACAAATGTGTTAAGTCCTAAAATGGGGCAAAACTCACTTAACAAAAAATGTTTCACTTAGCAACATACGTTTTGGGGCTCACTTGTGGTTGTAACCCGAGGACTACTTGTATCTGGAGTGATATAGTGAATGCTGTTGGTGTAAATAGATACACTTGCATTCCCCTTTCCTCTCTAATGCCTTTATTTCTTCAGTTCATAATTTGTTTCTGAACTTTGCACAAGGTAGCTTACTTCAGAAGGGAATTGCATGTTGGATATATATATGTGTGTGTGTGTATGTGCCTGCCATATAAATTAAACTTGTTACTTGTTATTTTCTAACAATGCTGCATGTACCATAATTTGTTTTCCTATATTATTTTATTAGTGTAAAAGTAACAAATTTTTAATGTCTGCTGTGTTTCTGTTTTAG